CGCGCAGCCGCGGCCCCGGCGGCAACGGCCGCGCCCGCCGAGCGGGAGAGCGGCCCCCTCATGGGCCGCGGGCTCCCGCGGCGGCACCTGCCGCGCCGGGCAGGGAACAGGCGGCTTTCACCCGCGGCCTGCGGGCCGCCTGCCTGCCGGGACAGGGAGCTGCCCCCCGCCTCAGCCTGGCACCCCTGAGCAGCAGCTTTTATGGTTTTACCACATAGATTTTTACAAAAGAGGGGCATTGGGAATTTTATACTTGCTGGCATTAATCACAGTGTCAACGTAAGCTTCACAGGGGAAGTTCTCCTTCTCTGGAGGTCTTCAAATCCGACATGGATGCCACCCTGTGCCACATGCTCTAGGCGTCCCTGCTTGAGCAGGAAGGTTGGACTAGGTGATCTCTAGAGGTCCCTTCCAAGCTTGAAGATTCTGTGATTCTCCCTGTTCAGCGCTCAGAACCATGTTTAGGAACAAATGCTCACAGCAAGCAAGCTGCATGAGTTATCTCAACACGCAGAACTGTCTAAAATCTGTGAGGGAAGAAGGGACAACAGAGGCAGGGCGCAGCAGAACATGGCGGGAAGGTGCTGCCGCCCTCCCTGCTTCCTGCTTGGCCCCAGCCTATTTCCCTATTCCCCAGGAGTTGCTCCAGGAACAACCCGCATCTTCAAAGGGAGTAAAATTGCTCCAAGAGTCCTTGTGAATACAACTTCACCCCCCTCTCTGCACATTTCCACCTTTCAGCCAAGAGCGGCTGAGAGAAATTTCATTTCAAAAGGAAACGTCTTCAAAAGAGATAAAAGCGCTCCAGCAGTCACCATCACAGCGGCTCCGGCCTGTCGCACCTGTAGCAAAACTACAAAAGTCAACTACAAACAGAGGAACGAGGCGAGAGCTGAAGAGCTCACGAGCATCTGTCAAGGGGTGACGGCGGCTTCTTCCTCTCGTCTTGATCTTACTTATGAAACTGTATCAAGAAGCAGAGTTTTATATATACAGGGCACGCATATTAAACCAAAACACCATCACCCACTCCAAAGAACGCAGAGAGCAGCCTGGCATAGTACATGCACTAAGGACACATGGCCTTGTCACACACTTTACAGAGAGCAGGAACCCACCCTGGCCGCGGCAACACGCCTGTGACACCAGACCCAGCTCTGCTAGTGAGATCCCAGACCCAGCTCTGCTAGTGAGATCCTGCAGGAAGCAACCCCCGGATGCTGCAGGCCAGCGGGGTGCTCCGGGGTGAGTCAGTGTTGTTGATGACACCATGTTCCTCACAGGCACAAGTGAGGGTTGTGTGGAAAGTAGGTCCGTGCAGATGACAGTCCGGTTACCTTGTCCCAATCCAGACACTCATTGTACCCCACAACTGCATCTGCAGCTCAGATGTGACTGGATGGCCGAGATTACACTGACAAAAGTGATACTTCACATTCCCACTAATTTCAGACTTGAAAAGCATTCATGTGGTCAAGTGACATTGCTCACCCTGAATATGTTATAGTCCAAAAAGAGGAAAAAAATCAGGGTAGGACAGAAAAATCAGAAGTGAAAAGGCTTCACCAAGACCACAGAGCTCAGTCAGCTGTGGAATTAAAACTCACAGGTTCTTTAATCCACATGTATCACATACTAACAAGAGGCAAATTACAGGTCCAGGTAGATCTGAAAAGGATGGCCAAAGTATCCCATGTCCCCCTCATGTATGGTTTACTCCAAAGTCACTTCCACTCTTTCTTCACTGATAGAGCTTTGCATACATAGCCCAAAGTTTAGTCACTTTTTTTTTGAGCATAGAAATCAGTGTTCAGAAGATGTTAATAAAAGTAACAGGCAAGGCAGAATGTAAATCCCTAGCCTCATGTATTAAATGTTCCCCCTGAAAACACATAAGAAAGCACAGTTTCTTAATAAATAAATTATTTTTTTCTTTTCATTTGTAAAATCAAAGGCATACACATAGCTGTCCCTAGCACCAAGGTGGCTTGATGACATTAAAACAGCTGCCTGAAGACTGGGAGGTCCTTCTCCCAACTCCCTTGTTCCAGTAGATCCTAAAGATGGCCACCCCAAATATCAGTTCACTGTTCAAGGCTAACTGAAAAAGCATTGATAACTGTCTGTATAGCGGAGCTCAGAGGCTGGTTGTAAGTTAGACCAAGTCTAGTTGGAGACCTGGGGCCAGTGGTGACCTCAGGGGTCAATACTGGGTCCAGTGCTGTTCAACTTGTTCATCAGTGACTTGGATGAGGGCACAGAGTGTGTCCTCAGCAACACTGCAGATGACACCAAACTGGGCGGAGTGGCTGACACTCCGGAGGGCTGTGCTGCCATCCAGAGGGACCTGGACAGGCTGGAGAATTGGGCAGAGAGGAACCTCATGAGGTTCAACAAGGGCAAGTGCAGGGTCCTACACCTGAGGAGGTATAACCCCAGGCATCAGTACAGATTAGGGCTCGACCTGCTGGAAAGAAGCTCTATGGAGGGGAACCTGGGAGTCCTGGTTGACAAGTTAACCATAAGCCATCAATGTGCCCTTGGGGCCAACGGGATCCTGGCCTGCATCAAGATGAGTGTTGCAAGCAGGTTGAGGGAAGGGATCCTGCCCCTCTACTCAGCTCTGGGGAGGCCACACCCGGAGCATTGGGTGCAGTTCTGGGCTTCCCAGGACAAGCTGGATGTGGAACTTCTACAAAGGGCCCAGCATAGAACAACAAAGACGATTAAGGCACTAGAGCATCCATCTTATGGAGAAAGACCAAGCGAGCTGGGCTGTTTAGTCTGGAGACGAGAAGATGGAGGGGGAATCTGATCAACATGTAGAAATACCTGAGGGGAGAACGTAGGAAAGAAGAGGTCAAACTCTTCTCAGTGGTGGCCAGTGACAAGACAAGGGATAACACAAGAAGTTCCATCTTCATGTGAGGAGGAACTTGCCACTGTGAGGGTGACAGAGCCTTAGAACAGGCAGCCCGGGAGGCTGTGGAGTCTCCTTCTCTGGAGGTCTTCAAATCCTGGATACCACCCTGTGCCACATGCTCTAGGTGTCTTTGCTTGAGCAGAGGGCTTGACTAGATGATCTCTAGAGGTCCCTTCCCCTCAACTATTCAGTGATGCAAGAGCAGCATCCACAAGCTCAATCAGTTTAGAGGCTTTTTGGCCAGATGCTGTATCAGGGGAGAGCTGGTGAGAATAAAGCATTTTTTTTTCCACCCGTGTGGAAGGAGGATCCATATTAACACACATCTCCGCCAACAGCCTTCCCACAAGCAGACTTCCTCCTTTGACTATCCAGGGAGGGCAGCCTCCCAATTTAGCAATCCAAGATAAGTGTTCAATACTCAGTGACACAATACCCCCTGGCTATCACCTTTCTCCACATGTCTACCCAAGGAGACCTGTTTACCCAGGCTACTGCATGCACCATACAATGCAGCTAGACCTTGTCCCCTCCAGAAGCATTTCATTTAACAGAGAATTTACGAACACTACCCCAAGATACACACAGTTTTTAAGATCTATCAGAAGGCAATTAGTTTCATCTCACTGTCAAAAAGGGATTGGTGCTTTAATTGGCTTGCGTGGCAGAAATAGAACAGATCAAAGGAAAGTCTATGAACAGGAGCTGGGATCACAAGGTCCAATGTCTTTCTAACCCTCATGCTGCCTGAAATGGTAAATTGGATGCAAAAGAAACTGTACTGCCATAAAGATCACTTAGCTTTTACAACAGTATGAGCAGCTGTTCCTTCCCTCCCCTACAATCCTACAGAAGTACCTGAATATTCATTTGTGCATTTTTCACTTACAACATTTTTAGAGAGTTCGACCCTATTTGGCATATTATATCGGATGCCAACCAAAACTGGGAAAAAAACCCCAACCAGAAGCAAACAAAGCTCACAAACACTCCAACCCCAAGCCAAAAAAACCTATGGGCACAGCAAGACTGTTCAGAATCAAAGGATGCAGAAGCAGTGCTTGCAGCATGCAAACACTGTGGATGGCCTGATGTTCAGGACTGCTTGCTGGATGCAGTAATCCATCTCCAGAAGTACTGACTTTCAGTCAGAGCAGTGTCTATACTCCAAATAAGAGGAGCTTGTGGTCACCCCTTAGGTCCCCGTGGGGACTGCAATTGCTGGTATGCCACATTTTTGGCAAATTTTTTTCTCATGTCTGAATGAAAGATGCTGAGCCTGAACTACTGCCTGCTCCCACTAGAGGAGTCAGATTCTGCAAATGATAACATGCATATTTGCAGTTAGCATCCTGCTTCTTGGAACAGCGAAATTCTTGAGGTCTGATTAACTACTACTTAAGAATCCAGTGTGGAGGGGAGAGCTACAGAAATAGCATTCTTGCACCACCCGGCATTTTAGGACGGGACTGCCAGGTCCTTGCGGGAGCTGAGGAATCCCTAAACAATAGGGACAGACCCAACAGACCAATTTATAAACAGCTTCCTGGCATCTTACGAAATGGCTCAAGCCATCAGAAGGGGATCCTTAGAGAAAACAACGTTAACAGTACTGTTCCCACTGTTTTCTTTCCTGTACTCATGTGGGCAAAAGCAATGAGGTCACACAAAGCAAAGTAGGCTCAAATGTTATGGCTCTAACTACATGGTTTTTACAGTCAAGTTGACTTAACTCATTTTAAAAGCAGATTTCCTCAAGCAGCTTTGAAAGCTCCAGCTGATTGCCAGCAGCAAATCAGAGCTAAGCATCCATTGACACACAACTTGTCCCCGAGATTACAATCTCGGTCCCACGCAATCTCATCTGCTTTCGGTTGGTGTCAATCTCTTGACTTTACAGTACTGCAGGCTGAAGCATTTGCAGTTAAAAGCAGCAGCTGTAGCCTCAGCACCTGAGGGCCAGTCTGTGCTTTCAAGAGGACTTTATTTTATTTCACACTTTGTAACTTGCACATCTTTTCTACTTTTACATGGAAGGCATTGGGTTTCTAATCGGGTATGGGGGATGCGCTTTTCTGGACTGAGCAGCACTTCTGTCCTAGAACAGAGTGATTGCCCACACAGGGAAGGGAGTTAGACCAGCAGGTGTTGAAGATGGAAGCCCAGCAGTTTCAAACACTGATCCACACTGGTAACTGGTCCAACTGATCAAACAAAACAGAAGGTGCAGAGGTTGCTTCACCAACCAGTTGCTCTGCCTTCCTTTTAAGATCAAGATGACATAGGGCTCTTCAGCCGTCTATGGTGAACCTTATACCATGAGCAGGAAAAGCAGAAATTCTATAGACAAATTTAGGAAATTGAAGAGAATCCATGAAGAAGGTCTAAATTATTCTGAGATCATTCATGTCAAAGGAGGTTCTGGATCCCCTGGCTAGATTAAGTAGTAGGGAATAGGGGATGGAGAGTGTTGAACAAGTGCTCATTTGTTGTGGGATGAAACGCAAGGCAGAACACTGAGGAAAACACCCACAGTAAAGGGAAATGCTCTACCAGTTAAGGAATTACCTGGGATACTAATATTATAAACTATTATTTCTTAGTTCAAACAAACTTGTATCCTAATCAGGAAAGTTTAAACTGAGGTACTTTTAAGCCAGAACTAATGAGAGTGTTGAAAGAAATGAGGGGCTCTCGTCTCATAAAGTGCCCTGGAAAAAGCTGGGACAGGGAAGGCTTCTAGAAGCTTGAAAGAACATTCCTGTTGTGCCAATGCTTTATGAACATAAATACAGACCTGCCAGAGTGGCATCTGTGCTAAGTAAAATAATGTTAAGGCTGGCACGGGACTTGATTGGCACTAATTATATGGTTCCCCCTATGTCTCTATTAATCAGCAAGTTTATTAAAAAGTAGAACTTGCTGCATTAAATTGATTTTTCTTTTAATGAGATCAGAAGTTTGCTTGCCTGCTGAAGGGTAGCAGTGTCACTGTAATGAACTTTTGCACAACACTTGGTATTATACGACATCCTGATTAGGGATCTACAGCAACTCAGACTTGACACATTAAATGAATTAAAACCAGCTATTTAATGGGTCGCAAAATATAATTACACATGGGCATACATTGTTATGCATGTTCCTGAAGAAGTCCCTCAGGAACCTTGGCCCTCTTTGGCTTAATATATTGCTAGTGAGTCAACAACCAAGTTCCAAGACCTCATTCTGTAAATAACGAGAGCAGCGCTCACTGCCAGAATCACCCGGACCCCTTGGCGAGCCAGCACCCAATGTTGTAACACAACATACACCTTTCAGGACATACAGAGGATCTCCCTTGGGAAAGCAGTCACTGGGAAGAGATGACACGGCTGATGGTGAAAGAAGTCAACTGAACGCAAGTTCACACCCTGTTTGTTGTGTCACATCTCCAAGTGACACAGCAAGTACGGTTTTGTTGACTAGCACTCGAGAATGCTGTTGACGCATAGTAGAGCGCTCAGAAAAGACCTGCAAGACAGACAAGGACCATGTTTCGTAAGGGAAGATTCCAAAGGCTTATCAGAGCTTAGATTTTTAAGCTAAGGGCTGATTTGTACACTTTTGACAGTGGATGTATGAAAAAAAACAGACTCTACTACAGTTATCTCTATGACAAAGCTGTAAAAGAGCTGCTACAAGCCAGAACATAAAACATTTATTAATAATGAGGGCAATTAGCTGATACTTAGCTACCTCCTCAATAATTAAGTCAAAATTAGCTATTCTTCATAAATTGTGTAGCTCAAACAGGAACCAACTTCTATGAGGTCTATAGCCATAACAGAAGAGATAAATAGTCAAAATAATCATTTCCTCCAGGGAGCCAAATCAGCTCAAGCAGCAATATTCACACATGTGTCCTGTACCTCATTTTATGAATTCCACACGTTCACCAGCATCACTATAAAGGACATTAAAAATAAAGCCTTTGCAAGTGAGGTACGTGCCTTGCAGTAGAGGATCCATTTGAATGCAACTAACTCACGTTTTCCTGGCATTCTTAAGCTGCGTGAATTGCTATCAGCAGCTCCTTTTGTTGAATTACAGCCTAGTTGTGGAATCAGGAAACATGTGTTTTCTGCTCTGAGGGGAAGAGAATGTAAAGGGAGCGATCGGCACATCCTGTCAGAGTGCAGGCATCCAACATGAGTTCACAGGCAGGTCTAAAAGCATTGGAGCAAAAGGCAGGTTGGCTTAGAGAGCTGTCGGGAACCGCCATCCCACCAACACCTTCAAAAAACCCAAAACAAGCAAACAAACAAAACAAAAACAAACAAAAACCCACCCCATGCACCACCACACACACACACACACACACACACACACACACACACAGGAGTTAAGGGCATTTGGGAAGCACTGGTAGGAATAACCAGCCGCCAGTGTTGTTCCTAAGCACAGTCGAGTTTCCAGCTCACTGGAAAAAAATAGGTATGAGTGTCTCCTGACAGCATGTGGTGCTTGTGATGGCAGCTAGTTCAGCTGCATTATCTTTTCCATAATCATGGGGCTGGAAAGGCCTTCCAGATCTCCACTTTCTAAAAGGAGTTTCTCCTCCCCAGAGCTCCAATCTGGATATTATCTTAATACTGCCCTGTTCTGAAGATTAGCAATTTTTATCTTGTTTCCAGTTAAGTTCATTTCTGGCCCCTTTATGCCCTTTTGCTCTCTCAGCTCTGTTATTCCTTCTTTTAAGTACATTTCTCTTCTACTGTTCACACCTTTAAGGCATCCACAGAAAAAAAATCTCTCACCAGACAAAATCATCTCCTCTTCTCTTCAAAACAGGCTTCTAAGATGACTGGGGAAGGGATAACCTTCTCCAGCATTTGTACCAGAACTAGGAACCTCATGCAGAGCAGTAGATGAGATTTTATCCACATTTTGTGCAATATATTAGCACTCAGTCTTTCCCGATCACTAAAATGACAATTTTTTTTTGTATGACAGGTTATAATTATTCTTTGATTACTCCACAACCAATCACACTTAAATACTCTGTACAGCAGAAATCCTTATTGTCAGGTAGGCTTTACCTTGCAAGAATCATATTTAAAACATATAGCATTGTGTGTTGGTTCAAGGCATGTTTTGATGAAAAAGCTGATACGTACTTGGGACTATCTGACCCTATGTTTAGTACCATTTCCTCTCCAGCCTGGAAAGCTGGTCTTCACATGACAGTTTCCAGGAATATGCCCCCTTCTTGATAAGACTACAAAGATTTTATGCAGATACAATTCTAATAAGAGCTTCTAGCAGCAACCCAGCAGAAGCCTTTATCCTTGCTGTCTCTTTCTAGTTCCTTATAGCACATCTTGTTATCAACACAGGACCAAGGGAAACAGTTGCCTTGCTTGGAATTTTCTAGATAACACAGAAGGATTTCAGAGAGGAGATTTACACATAAGTTTCAAGGAAGATAAAGATGTTTAAAACCTCAGCATGAAGTTGACTCTGTTCTAGAAACAGCATCTAGTCAAGCACCTGCCATTAACTCTCTTTGCATGTGCTTTAAAGTGGGCCACAGGCATCAGCTAGAAGTAGATCAGAAAAAGCAGGGAAAGTTTATGATCACTGCTGATCCTATCAGGAAAGCATTTTCCATCATTATGGAAAACAGGCTCAGTGATGCCCCTGCCTCATCTGGTTTTGCTTATGGAAGCAAAACCAAGGCCTTGCAAATGTTGTTGTTGAAAAACTACCAGCTGTCCCTTGCTAAAGGAGAAACCACAACTCGTGAAGGACTTCACAGTTCAACAACACACAAGCCACAGCTCTTTTCGCACCACAAAGAGGATTTGACCCTCCATGCCACATGAATGCACTGTGGTTCCCCCGCCCCTTCCCCCTGCCCCCACAAAATATTTTTAGCATTTGTGTTTTCCTTAATTTGGGGCAGACTGAACTCCCTGAGGGTCGGCTGGTGAAATACGACGGACTGTCACATCTGAGCACCCTGGGAATAGCACTACCCTCCTCCACATCCAACCCATGAAGTGCAGCATGCCCCAAAAGCAGCATCCTTATGTAATTGACCTGTCAAAAGGCCACTTTTCTTCCTAGTCCTTGGAAATCTCCACACATTTAAACCTGACACTTGACTTGAATCACACAGCTAGGAGCCGGTTTGTTTTTTTTCCACAGCTATCACAGAGGATGAGGAAAAACTAGTTCTACAGGAGGCAGAAACCCCAGCTGACTTCAGGCCATAAGAATGCCCTGTCCCATCTAACTAGGTGTGGTTTTGGCACAGCTTCGGGAAAGAATGCCAGATAAATAAATGCAATTCTGACAGACTCCATTGCTGGCCCTGGACAAGTCGGATCCCCTTCTTCATTCCTCCAGCTGGCATCATCAAGGAAACGGAAGGTGTCCTTAGTGAGACGAGCGCGTCTGAGCAGTCACACTGCAGAGCGGGGCCTGTCCCTTATCTTACACTGCAGCGTGTGCCTGGGGCACCACAGAGTTGTGACCTGCTCTATGGAGAGCTCCTGCTTCAAAGCATTATCACCGAGCCCAAGCAGATGGTCGTCTTTGGACTTGCTGCTAGATCGTTTTATAGCTGCAGATTTACTTGCAGAGGTGGAAGGGAGAGAGTAGTAGTCAGAAGTTTTAGACAAGGTGTTTGAATATAAGGTGATTGTTGAGGGAAACTGCAGAGGCACCTCACTAAGCTACCAACAAAGCAGTGGTCTCTCAGGAAATTAATTGCACCAGTTAGTGCAGAGCCGTGAGGGAGAACTGCCCTCCCCATGGGAGGCGCAGGGAGAGGGGCAGCATCCCACCCAGCAGGCACTGCCAGGATAACAAGCTCAGAAGCACTGCCGTCCTTAGGACAGTTCTACCTTACTGAGTAATCTGACAGCACCTCCCGTTTCTTGGAATTGCCTGTTAAGGCCTCCTCCTAGTTTGCTGTGCTGAGCCCCTAACTGAGAGTTCACCATCATCCTGAAAACAAGGACACCGCACCAGGTCCTTGCTCTCCTTGGTAACTCTCCTCTCCACTCTCCTACTTTGCACAAGAATTCCCTTCCATTCTCTAATGACAGCAGGACTGCAACCAAGCCTATGAAGTACTTATCATTTCTATAGCATCTGCCATCAGAGACTTGCAATTTACTGCTGTATTTTTCTGGCAGTTTGGCTAAATCTTCCTTGAAGCAGATGGAAAATGAGCTGTACTAACACTGAAGCTGGGGGGTTCAATCCTTCACACAAGCCTAATGCTCCTCTGAGTAGCAATCTCTTTACTCGATATGGAAAATGCACGTGCCATGGTTACCACAAACAGCCTGTGCTCCAGCCTTGCACAGCAAGGCACAAGACCCTGCTCACAAGTGCTCCCAGGCAGTTTAGGAAGGGGCCTGTTGCTGCCACCAGCTGCAACAGAGCAGGGCTGAGAGTTACAGCAAAGGAGCAGCTCTGAGCAAAAATGCGAAGCATTTTCCTCCACCCGCAGGGGACAGGTGGCAATGCCACTGCCGTGAAGTGGCCTGGGAGGGAAGCCTTGATAACTGCAGTCAGTCTTGTGAGAACAAGGAAATACCCTGTTTCTGGCAGGGTAGCATGAGCAGATGCATTAGAATTCCCTAATCCTCAGCACACATGACTGACCATCAAATCCCCCTTCTGATTCCACTTCACCTTCCATTTCCCAGCCCCTACCGTGCTGTCAGGGCTCATGCCCTGTGTGTATGCCCAGGCCCTGCACTTGCTCAGCCTTGGGGCCTGCAGCAGATGCAGAGCACACCTATACAGGGAAGGTTTCTCTGGCTGCAGCTGCACGGTACCCCATTCGAATATGCTCTGCCTGCAACATAAGTAGCTTTTCCTGAAACTAATTCAAGTTTCTTGTAAAAAGCAACACAACAAGGAGTAAAGAGGAAGACGCAGAATCTTAAAAACATTCACCTGGTGAAGGCCGTTGTTACACCAGCCCCATCACAGCAATCTGAATGCATACCTTGGTGCATGCAGACATTCCCACATAGATTAGCTTCCCAAGGCTAGTATCCTGCAATACCCTACACCCACCAACACTTCTGCGGCCATCCCAGCCAGGCAGGCACGTGGAATACCTCTCACTTGCATTTGAGCCTCTACATTTGTCTCCAGGAATGATGGTGGGACAATCCTCTGTCACAATTAGCACCTTAACTCATCTTTGAAACAGGCTAAGGCAAGATCTGTTCTTATTCTCCCCTTCCCTCCAGCCTCAGCCTCTGAAGGAGCAGGTGGAGGCGACAAGCTGTTGTTCTGCAGGAGCAAGTGGGACAAGGCATTGCCCAAGCTGGGTGGCCCTGAGAGGCCCCACTAGGATGTCTGCTCCTTTGGAGGACAGGCAGCACCCTCTCCTGGCCCCAATCCATCACCTTCAGCAGTCCTGTGGACAGCACGGTATGAGGTCCAGCTCTCTTAGTCCCAACTTTCTACCATATAGCACCAAATCTTACAAGTACAGATAG